ACCATCCATCAGGGTGGGGGTCTAGATGGAACAAAAACAGACGGAGGAAGCCAACAGCACAGGCTCGCTCTGCTTCCTAGCACCCATGAGGTAGGCAGTTTTCCTTTGCCTTGCCCTTCCACCATCATTTTTCCGCTTGATCACAGGCCTAAAACAGTGAAGATAGCTGATCATGGACAGAAACCTCTAAAACTGTCAGCCAAAATAAACTTGTCCTCCTTTAAGTTGTTTTGCTGAGGTATTTGGTTCTAGTTGGATATCTTTTCCCTCAAAAGACTGTCATCCTACATATTTATACATTCTATATATTTGAAAATACAGATTAAAAGATCTTAAAAGGTTTATTAACACTGAATTTAATAAATTCTAATCCAAATGTTCAAGAAATTAAAATCTAAATGTTTCATAAGCTTTTTTTCTCTTAACCAAGTTTTAACATTCCTTTGACTATAAGGGTGAAGTTATAAGAAAATAAAGAAAGTAAGGAACATTTATTAGCCATATGAATAGTAGGAATTTGTAATGACTGGCACCGTTAAGACAATTATCACTTCAGCATAAAAAAAAAAAAAACCCTACAAAATTTAAGATAATTTAGGTTATCATTTCAATTCAGATTTTTAAATGAAGTATTTTCTACTGGTTAGAACACTGTACTATGAATGGTACTGTATAAGAAAGTCATGGCCAAAAAGATAATTTAAAAAACAAAACAAAGGGCCAGGGATGCAGCTCAGTGGCACAGCGCCTGCCTGTCAAGCATGAGGCTCTGAGTTTGATTCCCAGTACCAAAAAAACCAAAACAAACGTTCAAACAAAAAAAACAAAACCTACAAACCAGAACTGTCAGTGATTCTACAGGAAATAAAAGTGTCTAGCAGGAGCTGCTAGACAAAATATAAATATCATGTGCGATCCCAGAAGTTACTAATAAAAGATCTTTCAATAGCACACTCTTTTTCCTCTATTCTTTTTATCTCCCTCATCTCCATCTCCTCTGAAAAAATGCAGTATTCAAGGGTTGGGGATATAGCTCAGGGGCACAGCACCTGCCTGGCAAACGCAAGGTACTGAGTTCAAATTCCCAGTACGCGCCCCCCAAAATGCAGTATTTAAATTAGAATACCCTATGAATAAATAAAAGGCATTGACAGGTTGAGCCACTAACACACCATCTATCTTCACCCTTCTCCTAAAGACTTCTGGAACTCCTTCCTAGACTTCTAGAACTGATTTAAAGTACATGACAAGAGATTTCTTTGCTATAAAAGATCTGTAAAGGCTGAGTATAAATATGATCTATGGAGTTAAAAACTGTTAAGCAACAACTTATTTGGGGAATTACAGTTTAGTTTTAGTTATAATACTTACATTGTTTCATTCAGTAAATATTTAACTGTCCACTGTGTACCTAACTGTAAAGTAAATAAATAAGAAAGATACTGTCTGTTCTATGTCCAAAGTCATAAGCCAGGAGGTGCCCGGTCCACGTCCTAAAGGTACTGAATTATTCCAATTACAGAGAACAGGGAGGGAGGGTCCCAGGGACCATGCTTTTCTGCCCAGACTCCAGACCTAAATAACCAAATGCCTACATGCCAGCTCCATTTGAATGCTTAACATACACTGAAAAGTTAGTACTTCTCCAAATTCCTGATTTTCCTTCAACCAGATTTTATTCCAGGCTTCCTCAACTCAATAAATGACAGCCACATCTTTCTGGTACTGAAGTACTTTAGATAATACTTTAGCATTCTCTTCAATTTCTCTTTTTCTCTTACTTCCCACATTCAAAGCATCAATAAAATCCTGTCATGCCAGGCGTGGTGGTGGTATACATCTGGGGCAGAAGCAGGAGGATCACTGTGAGTTCAAGGCCAGCCTGAGTTATGTAGTAAGTTCAAGGCTGGTCTGAACTACATGGTGAGACCCTGTCTCAAAAATAATAAAATAAAATAAAATAAAATAAAATCCTGTCAGTTCTATGTTCACATTAAATCCAGAACCTGATCACTTTGTACCACCTCCACGGTGACCACCCAAGTCGGTTCTACATTCTACACTACAATTATTCTTCTAAGTAACTAATACCTTACAGGCTAAGCTTAACAAAATAAAGCTATCATTTTGAAATTTAAGTCAAATGAAATATATCTTTTCTTCAACACTCCCTCTCCACTGGTTTCCCAACTTACTTCTAAGAAAAAGCCAAGTCCTTATAATGACCTGCAATGCCCCATGTGACCTTCCCTTACCACCTATGACTCTGAGCTTATTTTATTACTGTCTTCCTCAATCACTCTGCTCCAGCCATACTGGCTGCCTTGCTATTTCTCAAACACTAGGCAAGCTTCCACCTCAAGGCCTTTGCACTTACTTTGTTCATCTCTGAACTTCCTTCACCATGCTACAATCTGAATATGTTTCTCCAAAATTCATGTTCAGACCTAATACCTAATGTGACAATACTAGGATGCGGGGCATCAGGGGTTGCTTAGGTCTTAAGGTAGAGCCCTAGTAATGCCACTGTAAAAGAAGCCCCAGAGAGCTGCTTTGACCCTTGCTGATGAGAGGGTACAGCAAGAAGGTATCATCTTTAAACCAGAAGGCCTTCATCAGATGCAGAATCTGCCAGTACTTGATCCTGGACTTCCTAGCCTCTAGGACTATGAGAAATAAATTTCTGTTGTTGAAAAGCTATCTAGTTTATGGTATTTTGTTATACCAATCTAAACAGAACAAGACACATCAAGTATCCATATGGCTTATTCCCTAAATTCCTTCAGAGGCCTTCTCTGACCATCTAATACTTACAGTTTTCCCTTACTAACCTGTTACATGGGGCTGTGGGTTTTGTTTTACATAAAGGCCAACTCTAAGTGATTAAAATCCAGTAGGCACCAAATAAATATCTGTTGAATGAACAACAGAACTGATCACAGCATACAGCCAGGGCACCACTACGAGTCATCAACCTACTTTGTTCTGTTCCTGAGTGTTGGACTAGTTCCCAAGTGATTGGCTCTCTCTTGAAAAATTACACATTAAGGACCTTAAACAAGCTGTATTTGTCTCTACTAAATGTCTGGACCCTTGAGAGTTTTAAAAGAAAGTTAAAGACTCAAAGTAAAGAGCTTGCTCCAAGTCATTTTTCTGCTTAGACAGAATAAAGTTTCTCCTGGCTTTCTTTCCAAGTTCAACAGAGATGGGCAGAGAAACACAGATTAAAATAATTTTCTAGATTCTTTTCAAATTTTCCCTCAGGGAATGGGGATTTAGCTCAGCGGCAAAAGTGCCTGCCTGGCAAGCGCAAGGTCGTGAGTTCGGTTCCTGGTACTGGAGAAAAAAACAAAAACAAACAAACAAACAAAAAAACCACAAACAAATTTTCCCTCAACAAAGAATCTTCTCAATTATCTATGCTTCTTTATTTTTCCATCTTTGCAAATACAGTTAAGTGCTCTGGTTGTTCACATTGCTTCATTAACTGCAAAGTAAGCTGCTTGAAATTGCAAACAAAAATTCTATGGGAGTGCACATGCAAACCTAGAGTACATAATCTAAATCTTAAATCCCCATGTTAAATATCTGTATTCTCTTCAAGGAGCTTAATTTCCACGAGCAAATGGAAAATATCTTCAAGATTTTTGGATTCGTTATGTGTAAGACTCTTCCTAACTACAAATTTTAATCAATCCCGAGAATTCTAACTATGCTCAGTATTAAAGGCATTCTCAGAAGTTAGTGTTCAAACACATAGCTTCACTGTTGGAACACATACTGCATCACCATTTACTTTGAAAATGCAGTGAGATTTGCCTTTATAAGCAGGAAATGGCACTAGGTGACACTTTGTAAACAGTCATTACAAAATTCTTTGCACATAAGCATTCGAAGGGGAAGATGGAGTTCTTACTAAAATGAAGATAACTAGAATGCCATGGCGCTCTAACAATTTTATACTCAATAATGAAATGAAAATGCAATACTTGAAAATTGAATTTCCCTTTAAAAGTTCAACAGTTCATCCAAACTTACAATAACCAGTGTATACGTCATACTTAGTCATGTGAAGTCTGGCTTGAATGACAACTCTAAGTAAATTTTAATTTTTTTAACCCCCTTAATTATTCAAAATATTGTCTGAGGGGCTCAAGCAGATCGTGTGAAAGTCTAAGTGGTTTACTCCATAATCTTGAAATCAGAGAAATATCATCTTCTCCTTGACACTAGGATTCAGGTAGCCACTGGGCAAATGCCGTGGCACGCTCCCCACCCCCCCGCCAAAAAAAAGGTAATAAATGGCTTATACAAGCTAAAGTCTCCAGCTGAAAAAGGAAAAGGAAACAACACGAAAAGCAAAGCAAAGAGAAGAAACAAATCCATCCTGCACTCGTGGTTGGGCTTCTACTCCAACAACACCCCAAGTACCTGCACTGCCCTAAAATCCTGTTTCTCCTGAGTTCCAGGACCAAGTAGGCAGAGGTTCAGACTCCTCCGTGTTTCTACGCTGTGATACGAAGCCCCATCTAACAGGCTCAAAAGATCACAAAAAGTCCAGGGCAGGAAGATTCTCTGCCATAGAATTCCCTCGCTTCCCGGAAAGGGGGGAAGGAGGCTGAGGAAATCAGTCTAGGTGGAAAGATGACAACTGAGAGTGACACACGGCTACTCTTTCTCACATTCGTGGAGGCGGGAAAGGAAAAGGTGGGTGTAAAAAAAAGGGGGGCGCACATCACTCTTCTTTCTCCAGCACAGTGGGGGGCTGGATCTCCCCCAGAAGCCAAGAGCAAAGAGAAGGGATCGCCAGCACCCAGCCAGCGGCACCGTCCGGCCTGTCCCTGAGACTCGAACTTGAGACGCTGGAGCCAGGGTCAGGTGGGGGGTGGGGGTTACAGGAGACTCGGGGGACCCGGCTGAGCCCTGGAGCCCGGCCCGGGGCGCCCGTCCGCCCTCCCGCCTGGCCCGCCTGCGCGCCCCCGCCGCGCGCCCGCGCGTACCTGCTGCACCCCGAGGAACTGGTAGAAGTTGAGCTGCACCTCCTCCACCAAGTCGAACAACTCCAGGTCTCCGCTCTCCC